AAAGGGGGGCATGTTGCAAGGGCAAGTGAGATCACACAGAGCACTGGGGAAATGCTTACTGTGGATGGCCAGCCCTTCTCCTTAGTTGAGTGGCCAGGGTTCAGGTGGCTCATGGCACTTGTGGCCCCATCATACCAAGTGTCTGCACGCACCACCTTCAGCAGGATGGTGATGCCCTCCCTGTATGAGGCATGCAGAGAGTACTTGAGGGAGGAGTTGCACAAGGCAGGTACGCAGGTGGCCTTACAATTTACCTCTGACATCTAGAGCAGTCAGGGTGGAGATCATTCATACCTATCCCTCAAAGGGCACAGTCAGGGTGCCGGTGGACACTCCTTCAAGCTGAGGTGATGGATGAGTTCCACATGGCAACAGAGATCATGGGGGCCATGAACTGCTTGGTGCAGGGGTGGCTCATTGGGCAGGGCAAACTCACCTGTGGGTTCATGGTCACCGACATGGGGCCAATGTGGTCAAGGCGGTCCACTTTGTTGGCATCTGCTGTGTGGCACACAAGTTCCACCTCATATTCAGGGATGCCTTGGAGGGGGACAGGGCTGTCAGTGATGGCACCACCACTACCACTATGAGCCAGGTCATTTCAAAATGCAGGGAGGTGGTGGGCTACTTTTACCACAGCATCAAGGGGGGCAAGCAGAGCTGAACATTCCACAGCAAAAAATCATGCAGGATGTGGAGACTTAGTAGAACTCCCACATATCTGATGCTCGAGGAGTTGGTGGAGCAACAGAAGGCCATCCATGAGATGACCTTGCTCAGGGAGATTGGGATCAACGGCCCCCTTAACAGAGCTGAGTGGGATACCATCTCCCAGATTTTCCTCAAGGCCACCAAGACTCAGCACTGGTGATGCCCTCCTTAATCAGGTGATCCCCTTAGTGAGGGAACTTCAGAACCAAATGGAGAACTTCTGGGGGATAAATGTTCATGGCTGGGGCAAGCCACTATCACCAGATGTGCAGGCACTGGTGAGGAGGCTGAAGGAGGGCATCAGGAAATGGCTTGATCCCTTGTGCACCAATACGGTCCATGTGCTGGCTGCCATGTGTGACCCAAGGGTGAAGGGCAATGTATGCAGCAGCCAAACCCTGAATCAGTGGATGGAGGTACTGGTGAAGAGAGTCAGGGAGGCAGAATGGCGGAGGCAGATGGATGTGGAAGAGGGGATCCATTGTCTCATGTTAGCATGCCATCCACCAGCCAGTCTCCTCTTCCACCACAGGTACTACCAATGTGGGCCAAGGGCATGGCTTCCAGGATGGGGTCCCGGAGGCATTAGACAGGTAGCACTTAGGCCCTGGTGGCTGCCTATCTCATCTAGGATGTGGAGCTGTGTGACCTCTGCGGGCAAGCCGCAGCCAGATGTGGTTGGATCTGGCCACAGCTGCCCAGGAACACCTGTCCTGTCCACAGACAAGTGTTCCAAGTGAGAGGGTATTCAGAATTGCTGGGGATGCAGTAACACCCCACCGCACCTGCTTGGATCCTGGTTTGGTGGAGCAGCTAGTGTTCCTGAAATTGAACTTCCCACTACCAGGGTTCCCCAAGCTCCAGGTGCAGATGAAGTGAATGCCACCTTCTTCACTCTGTCTGCACCTATTTCCTTTTTTCATTTTTTAAAAATCATTTAATATTCAAAGCTGGAGGGGGCACTCACTGCATCACCAGCTAGCAGGGGAAAAACACGTTCCTGCTGAGCTCCCATGCCAGATGAACTTGGAGGTATGGGATTGGACTATGGGGAAGGAGGAGGCTCCAATTCCTGTGCATGACCACTAAAACTGCACTCTGCCAGGGTCAGGAGGCCTGATGTGACTGCTGGTGGCACAGCAACCCCAGGAAATGCCAGGACCAAGGACCCCCTGGTGAAAGGCAGGTAGGAGGTGCCATAATCTCCAGCTACCACACGCACATACAGAGTCCTGGCTGGGGAAAGCAGTTCATAGACTCATCTGTGAAAAGTAGTTTGTAAATTCCCTTCAAGATCAGGCCTGAGAGATTGGAGACAGGTGGTGTTCTGTTGTTGTTTTTGATAGATTTTCAATGTGAGTTCATTCTAATGTGCAGTTGTTGCTTGATGTTTCCACATATTTTTCATCAGGGCACTTGGTGCCCTGATGGAGATATGTATTGTATTGTGAAGATATCTCCATACTGGAGATACTGTTGGCAGGTTTTCTGTGTCTTGTCATGGCATGGCCTGGATCTATTTGGTGTGTTTTGGGTTGTAAGAATTTGGCTTCTGGTGACGAGGTTAGTGAGGTTCAGTGGTTATTTGAATTTACAAACCACTTTTCACAGACAAGTCTATGAACTGGACTTCATCAACCTCCTAGGTACAGAAACTCATGGATTCAATATAGACATTGGAATTCTGACACACTACATACAACCTTCTGGACATCTGACTCCCCAGGTACCCCTCCACTTTTACCTGCGCTGCTACATCCCCCTTCCCCCCACCCTCATTCCAGCCTGTCCCTCACCCCCTGATGCCCTCCATTTCCATTTTCACTGACTGGCTTTCTTGCCTGCATTGCATGCCAGCCTCCGGTTTCTTTACTATTCCTTCCATCCAGGAACAGCACATGAACAGACCAACTACAGGTGCTTCCTCAGCCTGATGAAGGCTTTTTTAACCTGAAACCTTGCTAAAATATATTTCTGTAACTATTCAGTTGGTCTACTAAAAGACAACAGATGAATTTGACCCAAAGAACCTTGTCTGCCAGTGCCATGTCCTTACACCAACACCCTTAGCAGCTGACCAGAAGGATACATGGCTCTGAGCATATCTAAGACCCAAGGCTGGGGCTGGCAGAGAGAGTTCTCTGGCAGCTGCTGGAGAAGCTCCTGCAGGAGAGGAAAGAAAGGCTCTGTGACAGTTTGGATGCCTGAGATGCTGCTGTTGCTACTGTGCTGCTTACTAAGTTATACCTGTTGTCATTTAAAGTGGTGGATGAGCTGAGGCTGTAGGGGATGAGGAGGCTTCACTGAGGCACACTACTGTGTCATGGCCCCAGCACCAGTGAGGGTGTGCCTTAACACACACAAGTCACACATGTCACGAGTCTTGGTTGTCAGCAGCCTGAGGTGCAGTTTCCCAGAAGCCCCTCCACCTATCTCCTTGAAACCTGCCAGGCTTCATGGCCTCAGCATGGGCTACCATGCCTGCAGTTTTCACCTGTGCCTCGACACTTACAAATGACATGAGTTTTGCTTTCAAGACTTTGAGGTGCAGTTTCACAGAAACCCCTGCACTTATGTCTATGAAGCTTGGCAGGCTTCATGCCCTCAGAAGGAGCTACCATCCCAGCTGTTTTCATTTGAATCATGCAAGAAATGACAAAGTTATAGGCAGTTTCATGCTTCCCCATTATAGCCTATGGGCGAAACATCGAAACAGTGTTGAAACATTGAAATTATTTTGACTAAACTAAATGGAACAGTGCTTTTGAAATGAAATGAAATTCAAAACATAACACTGTCCCATGAAAATGGCGAAATGGAAGTCAAAACAAAAAGGTGCTGTTTCACACAGCCTTATATATATGCTTTGTGAAGAGACCAGGACCATAATCAGGTGCCTTTGCAGTTGAAATAATCCTCATGATTTTATTTACACTTTTCCCATAGAGAGTTGCTTTAAATAAATTGATAAAGTATTACTGAATTAATGCTGATTCAGCTGTATTACTTACCAGAACTGTGTATATTGCTTTTTGCTCTAGACTAGGGACGGACATTACACATACAACTGGTTTAAGTAATCAAAAACTGGTTTAAACCTGTAACAGAACAGATGTTCAGCGCACATAAACCAGCTTCAAAATGAGTGAAACTGGTTTCAAATAAAGTTGGTTGAATGTAGTATCAGACTTAACTGATTTGGGTCAAGCCAGTTTATGAAACTTCTGTCCCAGATTCTGTCTGTCCTGGTTTGAATTAAATCATAGTCCCCCAGCATCCCAACATGCTTTTCATGATGTGAAAAGTTCATGTTCATGCTTTCAACATGCTGGGCTGTGCTGTCTGCTGCAGCAGACAAGGGTTGGGGCAATCTCTTCCTTCCCCCACATCCCTCCACAAGGCAAACCCTGGCTGAGGTCTGTGGCCTGGGAAGGAGGTTAAATTTTCATCCTCTTGAGTACAGAGCTGCCTTGGCCCAACCGGATAAAAACAATGTGGACTACAAATCCCAGAGGTACCTGAAAGCAGAAAGAAGTGATGACTAATTTTGTAGAGTCATGCTGCTGTAATTCTGGACTGCAAATCCCAGAAACCTTGGGTGCAGCAGGAAGAGGAAGCAAACACACAGCCCATTCTGGCTATGTGCCAGGCAGCCCTGCTCTAGCACCTCCTGGCTTCTGGACTGAACCACTGCAGTCATGTGGCTGCATTTCCTGACTCAAAAGTGAATGTCTGTGCAGCTGTATCTCAGTTTAATCTCTGAAGCTTAGACTAAACTACAAAGACTGAATCGATTCAGCCTTGGGCTTTTTGACTGTGTTCTTAGCCTGAGTGTCTAGTCTACATATGGAATAACAGCCAACTACTTCATAGTATTAAAAGAACTTACTCTTTCTGTACAGGTAGAAGGGGGTCTGAGCTTGCTGAAGGTCTGGGAGAGTCAATTCTGCTGACCACTCAAGCTAAGGGCTGGAATGCAAACTTCTTACTTAAAACAAGGGCAGATGTTATACTTCAAGAACAGGCGGGCTGTCCATTGGGAGGGAGAACTGGGGCGACTGCCCCGAGCCACGTGCTTCGGAGGGCCCTGCAGAGCCAGGCAAAGCTGCTATGGTGACTCCGTGCCTCCCGCCACTGCTGAATCCACCGCCGCTTCTTCACATTTGGGGTGTGCAGGGGTGGGGCCCTGCACAGGCTGATTTGCCCTGGGCCCTGCAACCCATTTGGGTCATCTCTGAGAACAGTTATTTAAAAACTAGACAATTTACTATAGTTTTCTTTTTTTCCAGTGAATTCTTCATGCCAGGATTGGTTGATGCACATATCCATGCACCTCAATATTCATTTACTGGTACAAGAGTAGATCTACCTCTTTTGGAGTGGTTAAAAACCTACACATACCCAACAGAAGCCAAATTCAAAGATAATGACTATGCTGAAGAAGTGTACACAAGAGTTGTAGTAAGTACAGCAAATGTCTTCTGCCTACTTTTCTATGATAAATACATGTTTTACAAAATGTTTTTGCTTTCAAAAGCTGATATTACAATTCAGCAACAAATAAAATATCATCAAGAGAACTGAATAAATTGGGAATACCAACATTATTCAAGATTATTCCCTTTATAATTCTGGTCTGCAAATGAGTTGATACCATGTAATGGCTGGCTGAATCTGCAATGTATCTGATCAGTATAGATCTACCAGTGTCAGGACATCAGAAGAGATGCCTGATCTTCATCTGTCACAAGGAGAAGAAAGTCTACTAATGCTGCCAGAGCAGTTTTTAGCTTTTACTCAGGTCTTTGCTCAAATTGATAAATACAAGTCTGAAGAATCCTGATATTTTGGGTGTTGTCTTGCCAGTTTCACTATGGCCTTAATCAAAAATGAAAGATTAGACACTGCATTATCAGTATCATGTCAGTTTCTGAAACAAAGGCCTCATTGACTGCATCCAGATGATCATGGATGCGTTTCCCCAGGGACAAGTAGCAATGGCACACCTTGTGCTGCTGCTACTTGTCCCCAGGGAATGCCCATGCCACGCACACTCTGGCATGGGCATTCCCCAGGGGCAAGTAGCAGGTTACGCTCGGTGGGGTTGGGGAGGCTGGGGCCAGCAACTGTGCTGGTCCCAGCATTCTCGCTTGGGGTCTTGGGGGCCTCATGGATCTGCAGCCACAGCGCTCCTGCATCTGGGAGCCTGGCTAGCAGCTGGGACATAGCTCCGGCTGGCCAGGCTCTGGTTTTAGGCAGCATGCCCTGCCACCACATGCACCACCCTGCTTTTTTTTGGCATGGATTTTTTTAACCCCCAGATTTCCTGGGGTCCAAAAATGCCCCTGTGCTGAAAGGTAGCAGTGTAAGGAATGCTGTGGGGTATGTGGCACTGCAGATGGGTCTGCAGCGTCACATATTACATGGCTGCACTCATCCAGATATGGCCACAATGGCTTACTTAAGAGGTCCCTGCTCCCTACAGTAACTATTTATAATTACCTTGAAGTTCACCAGCTAGAGTGGTAACAGATTCAAAGAACATGTTACTCAATGAAGGGATCTATTTATAGTTTAGATTAAATATATTTATCAACCTGAGTAATAAATATGAACATTATAAACAGCTATAAACAGCTCAGTAAAAATCTCTGATGAATATGCAGCTGCATTAAAAAATCTTAGAGAAATGTTAGGATGTAGAATGATTTTTTTTAAAAAGCAAATGTGCTTCTCATCTGGATTACTAACTATAGTATTTCTAATTTATCACAGAAAAAATACTGCAGGAGGGGATTCGGAGAAAAGTAACAAAGAGTATGAGAATCAAGGGCACCTATACATGTGCAGTGGGACTGTTCAGATGTACTGTAATTACAGCATGTCGGAGCAGACTCGATTAATTGAGTCTGCTGGAGCATGGTAATTACCATGCTCTAGCAGATTTCAATACCTTGTGTATCAGCGTCCTTGCACTGAAAAATGGCATCAGGAACACCTTAAAGCTTACTGAACAAACTTTCCCCCAATGCCATTTTTCAGCCCAGGGATGCTGATACACGAGATGTTCCAGGCTCTTTAATTAGGGTGGCTCTCGGAGCTGCTCTAATTGAAGTACCACCTCCCCCCTTCCTCTCCCCCCCTGACTCTGGGAGTATGTATATAAGTGCCCCAAAGCTCTAGCAAAATTCTCACATGCGGAGAGACCAGAAAGACTGGGATTGTTACCTTAGAGAAAGCAGATTGGGAGCTTCTGTTCTTCCCTGCAAAACACAATTAAATTAAAAAATGGAAATTTCAAAACTGAAAGGAAAATACTTCTATACACAACATAATAGAATTGTTCTTATGTGGAACTGGTTTCCACCAGAAATTGCTGAAGCCCAAACTTAACAAGATGTTAAAAAAAAAATTAAAGATTGAGTATTTATGTGCATATCCAGAGTTATAATTTGACTGAAATATTTCTTTTTTTCAAACAGACATCAAACTTTGTTCTTTGGAGCCTAAAGCAATCTCTTGGGCTGTAAATAGACACCATTTTTGTCCCAGGAGAAAGTATTTTGTCCTGGAACCCTACAGTCGCATAAGACCAGTGTCCCACTTCAAATCTTGTCAGAGTATGTAGGATAAAAGTGCTATCATTTTTTTCCTGGGCCACCATGGTGCATATCTGCAATACAGTTATTGCAAGTCATTCCCTAACAAGCAGATCAAGCTGTGCACTCTCTACAGCCACCTACTGGCAGAGGGACAGCAATGCAGCTGGAAGAATGTCAGTGACTGTATATATCACTAGGGCTGTGCAAAACTTTGGTAGCCGATTTGATTTGGAGGAAATTTGGCCTGATTTCAGGACCAAATGTCCAAATCCAAATCAAATCAGGAGACCAGTTAAAAGCTCTGAATTGATTTGAAACATCCAAATCGATTCGGAAAAGCTTTGGAACAGATTTGACCACTTCAGAGCTTCAGCCATAAACTAAACAGCCTCCAGCTGGTAAGTCTGTTGGGGTTGCGGG